TTAAGGAATTGTTGCCAAGAGTTCTCACTAGATCTCTAATACAAAATTATTCGTTTCCTTGTATCGATATTTTTTGTTATACCATATTTGAGATAAGTTGTTGCCCGATATTTTAGGATACTTTCTTATCCCACATCCATGATACTTCATTGCTCCGTTTTCGAGAGTTTGTTAATACTTCATTATAGGGGTGTAAACGAGTTGAGTCGAGCTCGAGATGTCTTCGGCTAGAGCTTGAGCTTGATTAATTTTATTGAGCTCTAGCTCGAGCTAGAGCTTAATTCTACGAGTTCGAGCCGACTTGCGAGCCGACATGTTTAATTTAAAAGAGAGAAAATATTATTAATTTAAAATAACTTTATACTAAGTTGACAAATAGAATGAACAATTAGGAGATAAATAATAAGAAATTACCTAATATATAATTAAAAATATTATTTCTTAACATTTTTATCACCTTAAAAACAAAATTTTAAAATTTAATATATTTTGAGTATAGTTATGTTCATAATTTTTTAAATGAGCCGACTCACTTAGTTCGGGTTTGACTTGAGTTTGGCTTGTAAGCATATCGAGCTTAGTTCATGAGTCACTTATCAAGTAGAGTTCGAGCTGGCTCACGAGTCAGCTTAACTCATTTGCACCACTATTTCATTAGCAATTGTAGTTTGAAAAGAATGGCAAGTTTGGGGCAACCAGTGGTGGTCGATAACGACTATCAGATGGTAGTTGAAGGTCATTGACAATTACTGAGGCCACAATTTATTACTGGATCTTCAGTCTAGAAAAACAGTGGAATTGGACTCCTCCCCCCTCTAGAATGTTGCAAATGATTTGTGTGCTAGAATGTTGTAATAAGCTTATTGAAACCAGTGATCTGAATGATCTTTAATTTGAATTGTACTTTTTCTTATTAAAAAAAATTGCTTCAAGATTCATGTTAAATGATTAAATTTCTTGATAATGTATCAGTTGCCTTTATTTTAGAGTGATGTTGATTATGTCATCCGAAAATAAAATAAATACAAAAAATGAAAAAAAAATTCAAAAAATTTGGTGATGGTCGGTTTCATGTGTGTTTGGCAAATGCGGGTGATAGCCAATGATGACTACTGATGGTCGGCGACATGAGGTTACTGGCAAAAGGATGTGTGCGTGAGCGGTTAGGTCAGCGATAGGGTCGGCACAAGCCGAGTTTGTGGAGCGTGGATGCAGGCTGGGTTGGGTCGACAAAGTGGGCAACAAGAATTTGCAAGAGCCATTGTGGGTGTAGGCAGGGCCGTGGACTGAAAAATGTGGCTTGGCTGATTGCGGGTCAGGGACATTACTTATTTGCATACAACGTATGGAGAAAATTTTAAAAGTCAGAAAAAGTCAACATATTTTGAATGTGGTTATTGTAAAAAGTTAATGTATAACCGTATTCAAGAATATCATTACACCATATTCGGGATATGTTATTACTCTGCATTTACGATACTTTATTATATCCTATTCGAGATATTTTGTTACCCTATATTCTTGATGTTTTGTTACTCGTATTTGGGATACTTCGTTAACCCGTATTAACGATACTTTGTTAGCAAATAGAGTTCATCGAAGACGGTGAACAAAAGGCAGCCGACGGTTGTCGGGGACGAACGGTGGGCGATGACCGATGAAGGTAGATGGTTGTGGATGACGAGTTATAGTTGAGTCTTCAGTCCAGAACAACATGAATTTTGGCTCATTCTCCTCCCCCTCAAGTAAGGAGAGGGGGCCAATTTAAATCTTCTAGGGGAGATACATCTCAGTCCTATGGAGAGTAACATTCCTAACCATCTAATCTCACTCTCATATTGATCTCCCTGGTCATATAGAACTTTTAAATTACATTATGGCCTTGAACTCAAAATTAAGAGCAGACTCGTTGGATTTCTCTCGTCGAGTCGGTCGATTTGGCTGTATGTATGCCAAATTTAAAGTTTGTTTAAACATTCAATTAGACCCGAAGTCTCCCTGATTATAACTCAGATTAAACTAATTTTGGTATTATTGGGTGTTTTTGGTCGGAATGGTTAGTTTAACTATAAATTTGTAAAAATTAAAACTCTAAATGTTCTATAACTTAAGTTGAAATATTTCTTATCTAAAAATTTATCTCAAGATTTAAATTAAATAATAAATTTTGTTAAAGGTGTATTAAGATATATTTAAAATATTAATTTATTAGTTATATCGAGCAAAAATATTTATTCGTATCTCTCTCTCAGAAAAATTTTCTAGCCGGACTCCGAACGTAGCTATACATGTGGACTCTCAATAATATAACGCCATGTGTGCTATATCGAGCCAACCTAAAAAATATTAAAGTGGAACTAGGCACTTCGCAATAACTCTAAAATAAACCCTGAATAAATAACCTCCGCGGTGTTATTTAAGAGTTATTGAAGTGAAATATATGAGTTTCTCTTCAATAACCCCGAAATATCCCCAAAAAAACCTCCAATGTGTTTTTTCGGGGATTATTGAAGTAAAATATATGAATTTCTCTTTAATTATCCAAAAATAACCAAGAAATAACCTTCACTGTTATTTCAAGGTTATTGAAGTGAAAACACGTATGTTATTTCAGGGTTATTTTGGATTTATTAACGTGAAATATATAAATTTCTCTTCAATAATTTCGAAATAATTTTAAAATAACCCAAAATAATTTCGACAATTTCACTCCAATAATTCAAAAAAACTTTGACAATTGAAACCCGCAGATAGACAGATAGAGTTATTTTGGGAGTCCATAGCAAATTTTGGCCTGACAGAATGAGCTAAGATAACTTTGAAACCCGAACTCGAGCTTGCAAGTGGCTTGTGATGTCGTATCGCCGCTAATTTGTATCCTCGAGGTGCAGAT